GTTTACTGTATTCTTTCTAAGTTTTGCCTTTTTACGCTGTCGACTATACTAACGGCGAAAACATTGAAAAAGTTATCGGCATTTTATGGTTTTGTTAAGGTGTCGGCTGACCAGTAGAATACTGTAACGTGCCCTAAAAAGCGTATTTCCGTGGTGTCAAAATGTTCATATTTCGGAGTATTTAGTGTTTTAAATGGATCATACTATTCCTTATAACGCATTCGAATTCTCAACGGTTAATCGCGTAACTTAACACCACATCACACAACGCGTGACGATTTCATGAAATAATGCTTCGCTTTTCCTCGAGACGTGAGCTTGGGACGCCTGTGGTGAGTTCTGGTGACGAATGCTCATGGTCTGACCGGAAGCAGTCAATATTTGCATTTTGAATGAATAATGTCGATTTCGCTACGGACCGTCCCGTGCTGAATACCCAAAGACAAGTAGAGAAGATGGCTTTGTACTTCGTCTTCCTCTGTGTTTTCCTCGGGTTAATGCAGAATTCAAATGCAAAAATTTTCACGGCAGATTTCGACCAACGCTTGAATCGAGAACGAAGGAATGAACACAACGAAGAGTTGATTCCTTTAAGTTTGCTCATAACATCGAAAATATCTTCACGCTTTGCGAACACGCTTGTAACAAGTACGTTACAAAACAAATCTCCCGATGATCGAGAGGCTAAGTTCGTCGTACAGCTCCCAGAAACAGCTTTCATCTCCAACTTCTCGATGGTAGTGAAAGGAAAACGCTACATCGCACGCGTCAAGGAAAAGAATGCAGCGAAAATGGAATACGAGGAAGCCAAGAACAAAAGCCTAAACACAGGCCTTGTGAGTTATAGTAAATCTCAACTAGCTTTGCGAGGAATGGACGTATTCGAAATTGCAATCAATGTAGCGCCAAGGAGTACCGCTGTGTTTTACCTCAACTATCAACAGTTGCTTCTAAGACGAAAAGGATTCTACGAACAAACAATCAGCATTCGTCCAAAACAGATTGTTCCTGTTTTAAATGTTACTGTCGACGTCGAAGAACCGCAAGACTTATCTCACGTAGAGGTCATGAAAATTCGCAAGGATCCAAGCGATGTACTGGAGAAGGGAAATCCATCAGCAGCGGTGACTCAAACATCGCCGAAATCGGCACGTGTAACATACAATCCCAGTGAAACCGAACAGAGAAAACATGGAAATGCAGGAGTTGATGGCGATCTTATTATACAGTAAGAAATTTCGTTATAACCTAATTTCAACGAATCACTGTGCACTAATTACTCGTAATCTACTATTAGGACCTTCCCAATGTCACGTTTTTTCAGTCACTTATAAAATTCCTTTAATCAGAAACCCACAATTTGACAGCTACAGGCCTGTCAGCAATTGAAATATCGTATTCAGAAGGTTTTGAAACAAATGACAGAACTTTCGCGTCTTAACAAACAAAGTTGCATTAAAACTGCTTCCCTACACGACATGCTCTAATAAGTTTCGTCATGTGAAAAGCTTAGGCAAAAAATATATTTAAGG